CGACCGTGGCGGTCATGTTTGAAGATTCGGTTGACTTTTGGGTCAAATCGCGTCGATTCAGTTTTATCGTTTGGAAGTACACAGAGATACGACGTCGTTTTTTAGAGAAAGCAGAGGAAACTTTTCAGGAGGTTGATTTTAAAACAGAAGATTGTTAGTCAGTTTTCCTGTAAAATGTAACTAAGAGTTTGTAGATTTTAAAAGTCCCTCACTTTCGGTAATATTCCTCGAGCACTCATGGTTTTTTCTTTAACTTTCAGTTAATCGATTAATTAATTTGAAACTTCCAGTTAATTTTTATTTATAGATTGTTTCTCAACAATATTCCATCGAGCTAGGAAATTTAAAGAAAAAGTTTCCTCGAAGTCTCTTTAATACAGAATATCTTTTTACCAGAAGAAATTACCTTACATATCCATAACATTAGGTTCGAACGAATAAAAGTAACAAAGAGAGCCGATTCGAAGAGCATTGGCACCAAGGCTTCTCTCGATAATACACCCTTGAAATTATTCAGATTCCAGTCATGCCCGAGTCTTCCTGTTACGTGACATCAGACCTGTACTGGAATCCAATTAACTCATTAAGAACTAAGAAACACTATGTATCACCACATTACCGGTAATTCAATTTCTTGAATTTTCTTACAATTACAAAATCGAACGTCGTCTCGTGGTCTTTCACAATTTTTTCAAAAATTGCGTGCAATGCACAAGCTCGGTGACGATCAAAGGCTCAAAATACAGATAAATTTGCTGACAAATAATAAATTGAAAATAAATGAAAAACGCAAACGTTTTACGCGGCATAAAGCGTCGATGCCTTGAACTTCGAGCGAAACATATCCCGAGATGGATTAACTGTCGCGCGATCCGGGCAAGAAGACAGCGATTAGTCAAGCGAGGAGATGGCTCGTTTATCCCTATCCGTGGCTGAGAAAGATATCAATCAGAAACTTTCATCGTCGTCGTCTTCGTCGTCGTCGTTCGTGTATACCGTGTTCTATCAATGACTCGACAATCGATGCCAACACCAGCCACGATACCCTCTCTCGTCGGATAAAACCGTGCGCGTCTCTGCCTCTTGTCTGCGCGACGTGGAAGACTGGAAGCCCGCGCAAAAGGAGACGCCGAGGATGAAAACCTCGAAGGGAGGATCGGCTGTTGGCGTCCGACGTAACGATCCGCGTTGTTGCCAACTCATTCGTACGCCTCGTACCGATAGAGCATGTAACACGCGTTCTTTTTTGTTTACACTGCGTTACACGGCTACCGCGAACCGAAGGCAGCCTCTTTTTGCCGGAGTGGCTGCAAGCCATGGAGGTTCGCCGAAGCGGGATCGATTCGATCTGCCGCGACAACCGCGACTCTGCCGATACGCGGGCTTGCTCTCAGCTATTGACGAGGATACGTGTTGCCGCGCGATCCACCGATTTGTACGAGTCCTTCGTCGACTGTCGAAGAGTTGACGTACCAGGAAATCGAAGGAAATATATAGGAACACGCTGTTGGCGTTAGGTTTTCTTGCGAAGATTTACACACACGATTTGCAGTTTGCGGGATTTGTAAGAATTGTGCATAGAAATGATCTGTTGCTTGGAGATTCGTCGTTTTGTCGAGACTCGCGGACGATATCGAGATGAGTTCCAAACGAGGCAATTCAGTTTTGTGTTGAGGTTCAAATCAATACTGTCGATGTTTGTGCAAATTCATGTTTTAATAATAATGAATGTTTTCAGTGTATTCGAATTATCGTGTTGTACAAATGAAATGTAAGGAGGCATTCGTTTCATTCTTTAACCCCTTGCGTTGGCAACTGGTTCGCGGACCATAACGAGTGACCGAACCTTATATATATATACAATAATTCGTCGCTTTCTTTTTCTTTCGAACTCGTCGGTATGATTCTCGCTGGATAGAAATTACCAAGAAGTAATGAACTTATCATTTGTTTTGCCTAGGTTACATTTGAATATACTCAAAACTTGCGACGTCAAATAATTCTGAACGTGCGTGGCACGTCATTCCAGGGCAAGAAGTTGAGGAAACTTACGATACCATCAAATTAGATCAACCCTAAAGCTATCGACACGTCAGTCGACAAGTCCCCGCTTAAAATTCTTATCAATCAAAAATCCCATTGAAATTCGCTATCGATTAAAGAACCCGCTTCTAAAATGCTCGACTCTGCTTCAATTCTAATGGCCCCAGCCATTTTCCATAAAAGTCCAACGATCAGCGAAATCATTCGAACCACTGTCCAGAGTCGTTAGAGGGAAGAATTGGCTGGTAGCAAGTATCTTCTCGTTCACCGCGTCGTAATTCTCTCGTTCAGGTATCTCTCTTCATCAGCGAGGACGCGTCACGTCCACGTCCCGGGCAAACACCCGTGGCCTCTTATTATTTTGTTGATTTTGCCGGGACCTCACCCAGCCCAGTTTTCGTCCCGTTCGGCCCAGGGATCTAATTATCCTGCAACGACCGGCCAATCAACGCACGAAAACGACAGCTCTTACGCGCCACGTTGCCACTGTTGTGTCTCGTGTGCGTCCCGCTGCTAAGGTGAACGCGACGCGATGGAGAGGACGAGCAGCAACGCGTTTAGAGTCGCTCGTTTTGCTAAAATCCGCGCCGCCCTAATTGCGCCGCTCTGCCTGATGATGATACCGCTCGACGATGATGGCTTCCTCCGGCGGACTCCATACATCGGCGGAGCAAAACGAACGAAACCTGGCCGTGCTCTCTAATGGCCGATTACGAGGGAAACGGTTAATTTGAATGTCAGGGAGTAGCGATCGTGCGCCTTTCCGAGATGAGAAGGAACAGGTGAATGTGACTCGAGGAATATTTAACAAANAAGTATCACGCCGCACGACCAAACGTCCGCCTTCCTTCCGTCGTATTTCTCACCCTGCAAAAAACAAAAAAAAAAAAAAAAAAAAAGAAAAGAAACTCACGGGAAGATTATTTTCTGGATTTTCTGGCAGCTGTAACGCGCCTCGTTAATAAAGGAAGGAATATAATAACAATTTCTTGGGTTTGTGATTTTTAATAATTTTCTTTTTTTTATGACGTTATAAACGAGAAAAGAAGATTGATATTTTAACATAAAGTACTTAATTTAAATTGAAAGGTGGTTTGTGTCGTCAATTAATTTTTTTAAATATAATGAGGCAACAATTATTGGTAATTATATGTCGTCTACATTTTGAGTCCATAAAAGAGATATGTATTATTACAGATAGTTATATATATCATTATTATTCGTTATATGTCATCTACATGCCGAGTCCATAAAATAGTTACCTCAAATGATTTATGTTAGTTAAACATTCCAGAGTATTTAATGTCAAACAAACGAAACCAAAACCATATTTCAACTGATGACAACAAGTGAAATCAAAACCACGTGCAAAAACTTTGAACTTTCTCTAGGATGACGAGCACAAGTGGTTATCGAGTGTTTAGCTTCCGGCAGGCGAGAAGTTTCACGGAGACAGCCGGCCAAATATTTCTTTCTACCCTGCCGGCGCGTGAATCCGAAAAGCGTGGAGAAATCCGGCTAACCGACGACACGAATTCTTTGGAACCTAAACCGCCTACTGTCAACGATATCCTGCCTTTCTTCCCATTTTCGCCTTCGCTAGTTTCGTGTTTCCACCAGCTCGTTGCAGCACACGTGCGTGACGATCGAACGCTTTCGTTTCAAGCGCTGCTCCAATATCTTTTCATTGGCAAACGTCTGCTCCAAAATTTACTCGGCAATCCCTTCTCGACCCTCAAAGATTCATTTTATTGTTAATTTTTCCCACACTGCTCCGAAATTTACGGATTTTGACGTATTTCTCTTCATCGATCTTTTGAAACCAAGAAGACTGATCCCACATTTTAATTCTTTTCTCGTCTACTCCCAACCTCTTAACCACTTGCGCTGGCAACTGATTGCGGACCATAACGAGTGACCAAACTCGTATACAATAATTCGTCGCTTTCTTTTTCTTTCGAACTCGTCGGTATGATATCGCTGGATAGAAATTACTGGGAAGTAACAAATTTATTATTTGCTTTGTCTATTTTGTTTTACTTAAATGTACTTAAAACTGAGAAGACATTACAATTTTGGAGCAAAAAAACTCTCTCGATTCTTCGCGATTCTTCTCCACAAAATTTGCTCCACAACCCCTTCTTACTCTAGTCAACCCCCGGAAAAGCAATTGCTCCATTTCAAACGAACCCCGTGCCACTTTCGACTCTGCTCGAAGTATGTACACATCTTCCTAACCCCTAAGCAGTGAGAAAACGAAAGAAACGACTATCTCGACTCCGTCACCGTATCGCAGAGGACACGGACCCCGCTAATCGTGGCCATCACCGGTGCCCTTCTATCCGCGCTCTGATGGATCGTCTCTCCCCATGGAATAGTTTCGTGTTCCCCCGGCGTGTCACCCACGCACGCTCTCCCTTCCCCTTGGATCCTCCGCCTCGTACACGGCCGAGGGGTACGGGAGGACCGAAGCGGAGAAAGAGCCCCGAAGGTGGGAGTCAGGGACGGCTGGTGCTAGTTGAGTTGTCGAGCTGACACGCGTTCTCCGTCCTTCTTCGTTCGTCTACGTCGCGGTTCTTCCTCTTTCGACCTTCGTCCCCACTAGCTTCTTCCCCCGTTTCGCTTTCTCCACGAGATTCTTCCCACCATTCTCCTCCTTTGGATCCACTCCGACCCCTCTTCACTCCTCCCTCCCTTTTCTTTATCTCTCTTTCTCTCGCACCCGTGTTCAGCGAGTCGTCCATCGTCTCGTTCCGTTTTGCTGGAATATCGCTGGTCCGCGCGCAGCCAGGGGCGTACGTCCTATGCTCTTTCCCCTTCTAACGTCTAATTTTCTTTCGTGGACGGTCCTCGTCGCTCCGGGAGTCCACCACCGTTCGGTTCCTCGTTGCTCGTACGGCCGTTGCTGGTGGTGGTGGTGGCCGAAGCGTGATGGTGGTGGTAACGGTGGTGGTGGTGGTGGAGCCTCAGTACCGCCATACCCGCCAAAGCACGAGCACCGTGACAGCCCGCACACACGCCTCGACCCGCGGATTTTTGGAACTCTGACCCCCCTAATGGGACTTGCCACTGGCTTTTCCGCCGACCTTTCGACTCGCGTGCACGCGTGTGATCGTCTCTCGTGTGGACTTCCTAGACGCTTGGATTTTTTCTTTTTTTTTTTTTTTTCTTTGGTCTTGGATAGAAACGTTAAATATGCAACAAAGATCAGGGAAAATTAGCAGTGATTGTCATTACTGTCGTTCCCACATCTCGGAATGAAAGATCGTGTGACTATCGGTGGAACTGTTACTTGTACAACGTGGTGTGACACGTATGGACTGTTTCACGGTGAACGTGATTTTGGATGATTCGAAACAAACGATGGATAATTCTGTGACCATCTCTCGTGCAGTTTCAGTTTTCGTTGTTACTGACTCTTGACAACTGATGGATCTTTCTCTAATACTGTGTAAAAGTCTGTCGAACGATCTCGTAAGAGATTGGATCTTCCTCCAGTGACGTGCCAGCTCGAAAGAGTAGACCCCTCAGACCGATCTTCGCGACGATTCCAGGAACTACCCAAAGTTAAATTGTCCCGCTCCCAGCTTGAAACTCAGTACGTCAATTCGTCACTTTACAAACAGCATACATCGCCGTCGGTCGAGCGATCGCAAGCAATAAACGTCAACAGACGTCAAGTTTGTAAGCCAGAGTAGTCATCCGACGGAAAGCTCTCAATCACTCGGTCCGTCTGATCTTCGTCAAACGCTATGAAGTAACACGAGATGCGGTCCGTTCATCGTCGAGAGTCATCCGAGTCTCTTTAGAATCAAATCAGTGTTGGTGAAAGGGAATTAAAGGGACGAGAAGCGATCATCAAAAGCAATCGTCAAAGAGCGAGAAAGTCTGTTGAGGATCGACGGACTATGCGATCGTGGATCGAGGGTGGTTCGTATCGTCGGGCACGGGGTGTCAGACAGGACGATCTTCCCTGATCCTGGACGAGCAGGCAGCGAAGGCACCGTCAGTGGCGCGGCTCGATAGCGGCGAGAGCAAAATGCCGGAAAAGGAGGTGGCCTATCATCAGGAGGCGTTCTCGCTGTTGCCGCCGCCGCCGCCGCCGCATCACCCTCACTCGGCGTTCCACGCGGCGTTTCATCCGCACCCGCATCCGCCGCCGCCGCCGTTTCATCCGCACCATGGCCCACCGCCTCCGCCTCATCCAGCCGCGGCAGCCGCCGCCGCATGGGAGCATCACGCGGCTGCCGCTGCCGCCGCTGCCGCTGCTGCTTTCCACGCTCCGCCACCTCATCCGTAAGTCTTCAGTTTGTTTTTGCTACTGTATTACTCGCGAAACAGTCGCACGCCGAGATTTGAGATTTTGTGGAGAAGTTTGAGTTGAATATTATTCAACTGCATTCTTTTGGGGGGAGGGGAGATTTCTTAGTTTTGGTGCTACTATTTTATCCCCCTGACTGGAACTTTAATCAAATTGAAGCACAAAGAAAATAAAACAGAGAAGTTTTCTATCCCATGAAACATGTCTAACTCTAAAATTGTAAAAAATTTAATATAAATGTAAATATTGTTAATATAAATTTTGTATAATATTGTATAATATAAATTTTGTAATATCACAGTCGCACGTCGAGATTTGAAATTTTGTGGAGGAGTTTGAGTTGAATATTATTCAACTGCATTCTTTTTTTGGGGGGGAGGGAGATTTCTTAGTTTTGGAGCTACTATTTTATCCCCTTGACTGGAACTTTAATCAAATTGAGACACGAAGGAAATAAAACAGAAGAGTTTTCTATCCCGCGAAGTATATCTAACTCTAAACTTGCAAAAATTTTAATATAAATGTAAATACTATATAATATAAATTTTGTAATATCATGAATTGTAGGTTGAAATTCAAGAAATGTGATTTCTTCGTTTTGAAGTAGTATACGTAACAGTTTCTGTTAACTATATAATTAGCAATAGGTGTAACAATATTATATTTCGATTATTCTATTGCAATTAATTTCTACACGATAAATAATATTGAGGCCAAGACTCTCGTAGAAGTTCATTGGGAAGTTCAATGAAAGAAAGCAATTGTTAAAGAGAAATATTTACTCAGAAGTAATATATCGATTGTTGACACATAGACTGATTGAGACATCAGTCATTCTACATTGTGCAAACGTACGTTCATAAAATTTTGATTATTCACTCGTATCTTTCCGTCGCAGAATGCCAGTTATCGAAATTATAATTATGCGAATAATAATTTCCAAGTTCCATTATGTTAGCAGAGTCTTTCCGTAGGAGAGAATTTTATAAGCGCAATCGTGCTAACTAAAACTAAAATTGTTTGAATAGGAATTTCTTGTTTTTATTCACTATTTTATACTGACCGTAACTTCATCAAAGGAATTAATCGCGAAAGAGTTATGTGAAGTATATTTCCTCGAAAAAATATTTAATCCTTCAATCTAAAATCTCCTCGTTGCATACATAATCCTGTGAAACGTATCTCATTAAAAAATTTCAAAAAATTAACTTCTCGAATCGAGAGAAGAACGATTTTCCCTACTGAAAGATTCACAACGTCGTGTTGATCATTGAGAATTTCACAAGCGGAACAAGGTCTCGCTGGCACGTTATCTTTCCTCGCGAACCGAACACACAGCTCCTGGCGCAATCAGATGCATAATTCTTAAACAGCGTAGCGCCTCTATTATCATGGAGGAATAAACGATCGTGTTTTCATGTCGAATGACTCATCCAGTCGCCGACTTCACGCGATATTTAATTCAATTCAGACGTACGCGCGGCCACGTTGCATTGCGGGAAACGGCGCGGAACCGCGACAAGCAGCGGTCCCGACCATTCGTCGACGCGGAACGATCGTCGAAATCAACGAGCCGCGACCCGATGGTAATTCTCGCGTGGATCATTCTTATCTATCAACGCATCGCCGCCCTTAATTACCCCTTAATGAGTCCCAGCGAACGCAAGGTCAATCCTTTCGTATCTTTCTTTTATTCAAAGTCGTGATTTTTATGACCGTGTAAGATGAACAAATGTTTTCGGTGTTACGAGCACCGAAAATTTACGAGTAGTTTAGACAGCAGTAGACGACGGAAAAATGGATGAAAAATTAACGCATTTCGTCGATATTAATTTGAAAGTGATGTAGTTGGAAATAAAAATTGCAAATTGCTAAAGATCGTACTTGAATATCAAAACATGGAAATGTTTTTCTAATTTTTAAAGACCCAAATATTTCCCAGTTGGAATAAAAATATTGGAAAATAAAAGTTCGATGCTTCGAAACAATTTTCCAAGTCATGTTTTTAGTTTTTAGATAGGCAAAAATTTCAAGAGAAGGACAAAGTTTGGACATAATTTATCATACAGTAATTTACAGTCGAATGTTCACAGTAACTGTTATGAATATATTACGAATATTAGATTCGTCGTTGAAGCAGCGATAAAGAGGGCGGGGGTGAAACGCAGAACGGTTTTGACGATGGCGAGAAAGCAGTGGGAAAAAGAATGGAGCTCCTTAACGTCTTAATCGAGTTAATTAAAGCAGTTTCGCACGTTTTCACGTTCCGTAAAACACGACACGCTATTGCACGCAACGAGATTACCTCGGGGACTTGTTAAGGTTAAATTAACGGGCTCGTGGAAACGCTACAGCCGACGAACCACGCCGGGGGATAATTGGACGTTTCTAAACGGCTTGTTTAACCCTTTTCACAGACGGTACTTTCACAACGGGAGCGACACTCGTCCTCGCTTCGATCGCTTTTCATTTGTATCCGATTTCGCAATAATTTTTCAGTAATTAATATCCACTCACGAAGTCATCATCGTCCTCTGTCACGAGCTTTTTCTGGTACGCTTTGGACGATAATTTTTGAAACTTGAATTCTGTTTCCAAAATTATTATTAAGGCAAGGTTACAAAACTATACCACTCCCATAGCATTACAGCCATTAGAAACGTAATTTAGTCTCAAAAGAGTTGCTTCTACGAACGAAAGAATTTTTTTTTTTTTTTTTTTTAAGAATTCCGGTATTTCAATTGAAGAGACCGTGCAGGAAAATAAAGAAACGATTGATCAATTAAATTTCAACAAAGTCGGAAAAAACAAAGAGTTTTAAAATTGCGGAACTTTCACCTGCATAATTCAGGCATTAGTTGACGGGTATCGTTTGTCCGCTCGAAAATTATATCGCGCGAGTCTCACGTGCCGATTACTCGACGAGACAAATGTAGCCGAGACGTATAAGGGAAAAGCTACAAGCAGAAAAGGAAAAACAACCTCCCCTCTCTCTCTCTCTCTCTCTCTTGGTTGTAATTACTTTTGATAGTAAGACCGAGCGAGCAAGTAGCAGGTGTTCGACATATTAACCAATTGGCCAAGCCAGAGTTCGTTCAATTAACCGTTTAATTGCACCAGCTAGCCAGATCGTTACCACCCTTTCGATCATTCGTGAAATTCCTCTCATTCAGTACTCGAGAACGTCTTTAACCACATCCTCCCTTCGCGATCGTTTCATTAACACGGTACCTAGACTAATTTCATCCACGTGTGCAGCCACTCGCTCGTCCTTAGTTCATTTTCCTCTTTTGTCTTTGAATATTGACGTGTCATTTTGCAGCACGTGCATGTCGACGGATTTTTACTTTCTGACGTGGCTAATATGGTTGAGGAATTATTCTTCATTCCTTTTTTTTAGAATTTTAATAGACGTACTTGAGAATTTATTTACTTATTTGTTTGTTTGTCTTAGGATCGTTTAGGATGGGACTCGTGAATTAAATTCTGCTAAGTTTTAACTAATTTTAAAATCGTAATTTTACGATTAAAATTCTCCAGAATTCAGTTTATTTAATTCTATTTAATTCTATTATCTTCAGCGATTTTAACATTTGTAATTTCCCATAGAAATTCCCTTCCTAGGATTTCCAATGTATTTTCTTATTCTGAAGATTGTCTCACAACAAATAGATGAACCTTCCGGCTCATAATTTGCAAATTCAGGAATTTCGTAAATTCAGGATTCGAAAATTTTTCCTAAAATGCGTGAATTAAAATTCTCAATACTTTCCTGACACGAGCATCGTCGATAGTTAACCCCTTTAACTTTTGTCCACGTACGCGTTTGGCCTAAATAATTCATTTTCCGCTATAAAATCGCGCGAAGTTTAAAAGATTTCCGTGCTTCGCGGCGGCGCGGAGGGTGAGGGGGACACGTCGAAAACGAGCGCGCATCCGCTGGACATTTAGGACGCGACTCGTCACGGCGAATGAAATGGACGGTGTCTCGCGGATGGTGACGAAGGGGGCAAAACACACGCCGATGGCAAAAATACATCCGCGTCTCTCGCATCCTCGTAAAGAGACGAAAATATCCAGCGAACGTTCGAACGAGGGGAGGCTAGCTAACGCCGGGAGCGACGAGCGCCGTGAATTTTACGCTGGCCGTCGCTGAACGATCCTTTGAGCCTCTCGCGCCATATTTTTCGTCGCGCGTCGTTCCTTCTCCTATTATTTATCGAGATTCAACGATCAATTCGAAAGATTCATCGTACAAATTGTACAAATCAGCGTAGAAGTAAAAGTTAAGATTGTAGATTGGTTGACAAATCCTACTTGATAGTTTGTGAGTCAAGAAGAATTTCGTCAAATTCGAAGGCTGAGAATTATTTAGTTGAAGCGATCTATACTTATCTTATTTTCTCCGATGAAGACGTCTAAAAATTTTCCACAAAAAGAAATTTCTTCAAGCTGTGGGGAGAATTGTATCTGTGGTTGCGTGTATTCATTTCTGTGTACCTTCTTCCGACATTCGAATTTCGACACAGTATTCTACTATATCTGCTTCAAATTTGCCGAAAATCAGTCTTAAAACAAAGCGTTAAATTGAAAACGAAATAAATAAATAAATAATACTTCACGTGGCAGAAACAGTCCTCTATATATTAACCACTTGCGTTAGCAACTGATTGCGGACCATAACGAGTGACCGTATATAAACCGCGTACAATAATTCGTCGCTCTCTTTTCGATCTCGTCAGTACGATATCACCGTATAGAAATTATTGAGAAGTAATAAAAAATTTATCATTTGTTTTGCCTGAGTTATACTTAAATAGACTTAAAACTGTGAAGATATTGCAATTTCGGAACAAAAAATCGTGGCACGTCATTCCAGCGCAACAAGTTAACAATACGCGTTTAATTAAAAAATTTGGTTATCCCTAAATAATAAATAGCGAGTGTTGAAAATAAAAAACTGTCGTGAAACTTT